TAATCCAATCGGCTGCGGTACAAATCGAGTTTCATCCGTCCTCATCTGGTGAGATCGACCAACGAATCTCTTCTTCATGCACTTTCATGCGAAACGAAGGTCCCCGTAACTATGTAAAAGAGATTTTATACAGCAATGGTGGATGAGGGGGCGAGTGTGGCGCGAAACGGGGGTGCGCGATGCCGAGAGTCTGTAGCCTCAGGGTAGGCATGGCCCTGAAAAAGTCTGGAGTTCCTACTGCTTAAGCACTTGCTTGCTTTGAATGTCTTCTGATTGGTCCGAAAGGTCGCGATCTGATAAATCCGCAGGTACACTCGGTAAAGTCGTGAGATTTGATAGGCCGGTGCGAAAACAGACTATGAATATTCACAAATGATCTTTGCTTTAAGTGAGGGCTTCGATATTGCTGAGTCTGTGATGCAAAGAAACTATGAGTTGTGGTGAAAGAACGCAGGGATAGGTCACACCTTATTTCATCCATCCATATTTTGCTGTACCTTTTTGTTCAGCTACATCCTTATTCATGACGTAGAGAACCCTCGGCTCAGTGGCCTTTGGCCCGGCCTCATGGAAGCCTACCACAGACCGGACCCTTCCGTGCGCTGGTCTGTTGACGCAGCCGCAGCTTCAGGTAATGGCCTGATTCAGCCGCCAGACTTGGTTGTGATCGGTGGCCTCCAAACTATGGACCACTGGGCCGGCATCAATGGACACGGTGAGTTGATTCGTTGTAGCAGATTTTGTCATCTTTACCTTTTTATGGACACACTGTGTTATGCTTCTGCATTCGGTCTATTCCTGACTTGGTTGGTGGCAGGCTCAAACATTTACAGAAGTTATTGCTATAAAGACAAGGATGAGGTAGACCTTTGGCTGGATGCTGCCACGACATGGAAAGGTTTTTCAGTTTAAGCATCATCTTCGTGAAGGAAATCGCTGTGCAATTGTTGGTTTATTTCTGTTTGCCCGTCATACTATGTGAATAAACGATGCTTACGAGTAATGGTTACCAGTAGTAATCGCTTCTTGACCATGGTCACCCATAAAAAAAATGTTTTTCGATTTCACAAAACGACCTTATGCTATTTCCTTCTTACTGCGAGAATAATTCTCGTTGAAATGTCTAACGATGTGCTTTTAGGCCTAATATTGTCTTTTATTTCGGCTTATACATGGATAATTCCTATAATTTACTTATCTATTACAAAAAAAATTATTATGGGCCAATCGTTGATGGCTCCCTCACCCACCGATCTCAATGATAATCCAAAGGAAGCAAAATTGTCATGATATTCTGCCTCACTTACACTCGGCGGATAACTTAGTGAATATTAGGAGAGAACCTGTAAAGTTTTCAAATATCTTCTTCCTTTAACCATAAACTTCCTCCTTAGACCAATCCTTTAGGTTCATGCGTCACATTAATCTGCATTGAATGCTATGCCTCACAGACATTAAGCGGAATGGCTTGTGAATACATAGCAGCAAACTTAGCGATTTTTCTTCGTAAAGTAAATTAGCTTGGATTATTTACAAAAAATGTTGCTCCCTTTCTCCAAATGGCCACTTCACATGCGAATTAGATAAAGTATTAATGATACAATCCTGTACCGATATTCAGAATTATTTCGGTTTTCTTACTCGAACTCTTTAATCACTTTCAATTATTCCTTTACGATTGTAAGTAATCGTATGAGATCATCTTTCTCAAATGCGCTGTAACTTTATAATTCTTGGTTTAATCTCAGTTATGAAGACCAACTGGTGTGGCCTCAATCTTAGCTTTATTCTCCCTTCGCTGTATCCAATTGAATTCACCCCATTTTCTCACCTTGATGTCATTGTCAAGAAGACATCGATGAATACATCATATCCGGGCTCATGTGCCATAGCAGTTGTGACCTGCTACATTCCTTGTTGGGACGAAAGAAGAAGAGATACCGCAATCGTTCTGCTCAAAGTTGGTCACGAGATTGACTTGGACTCTCGCTTTGACAAAATTTAACTTGGCGCCAAAATGGCAAGTTTTGCTGACGAGGCAGGCAAGACGTCTGATAATTCTAAGTCTGTAATCCGATGGTGAAAATTGCCAAATGGCAAAGCTTTTCGGACAAGGTGTATTTAACGCGATCAGGTGAGGTTAAGGCGGTAATCTATCCAGAATAAGCCTCATTTGATTGTGAAAAATTCACTTATCAATCCTT